AATTCTTTTTTTTTCAAATTTGAGTTTGAATGTCAGCTCCCAGGAAAGTCTCTGTCTTTGTTTGGTTAGTAATAGAATGGAACCTTTTTGGAACAAGTATATAATCAGTCTGGTTGTTTATTTCTACCTTTAATGCAAGCTACAATGTTCTTTTGGATGTTTTGTGGGTGAAGAATGTGTTGGCGATGGGTTAACTTACAAGTGCTAGCACATTCTTTCAGTCTTCTTCCCCGGTCATTTGTTTCTGCTAATTGCTATCCTGCTTCTGCCCACAGTACCAACCCATTGTTTGTGCACGCCTGTCCCTATCTCTGCATTTCATCCCCCTAAAAAAATTTACAAATCTCTTTTGGGGATTTGATTTATTACTTCTTCTAGCCTTGCTTAAAAAATATTGATTTCCTCTTTGATGTAGTCGGTGGTTGGGGCATATGCCGAAATAAAAAAGAAAATACTTTGTTTTGGCATCAATACGTTTGGTGATGTCTGCTGTTTGTAGGAGGGCACCTCATGATGGTATCATGATTCTATCAACAATAAAACCCATTCCGTGCTGGTCTTCCTTTTCTTCTCCTTCTTCTTCTTTACCTACTATTTTACCGCTTCGGGTTTCGAGAGAGTTATAAAAATGTAAAACACACTAGTCCATGAATGATTACTTATTGGCATCTAAGCTTTGAAAAAAAGTAAAACACACTAGTGCATGAATGAAAACTTTTGGTATCTAAGCTTTTCAGAAAAGTTACGCATACTAGTCGATGAATGATTACTTATTGGCATCCAAGCTTCGCAAAAAAAGTAAAACACACTAGTGCATGAATGAAAACCTTTTGGTATCTAAGCCTTTCAGAAAAGTTACACATACTAGTTCATAAATGATTACTTATTGGTGACTAAGCTCCTCAGAAAAGTTAAACACACTAGTCCATGAATGATTACCTATTGGCGACTAAGCTGCTTGGAGAAGTAAAATAACCAAGAAGGAAATTTTATCTCCTCACACAATTTGACATTTTATCACGTTCCTTGTCGAGCCGAACGCAAAGAAGAAGAAAAAACAGTCGCCATCCTAACGGACAGGAAACATCTAAATAGGCTAATATAATACTCATTGAATAAATATATTTTGAAATGCTTGCCATTTTACAATAACTCTTTTATCTTTGTGTTGCCAGTAAGTCCTAATAGACTCTCAGGACTACCAAACAGAATCCTAATGGACTCTAACCTAAGCCTTGGTGGAATCTGGCCCAGAAGCAGTAACCCAGTGTGACCAAACATTTTAGCCGTTTACACGGAAATAAGGGAAAATGGAAGCCGCAGCATTGGGAAATCGTTGAAGCATGTAGTGGAGGATAAAATACTTTCACAGTAAAAGCTCAGCCACAGAACTAAGACAATAGGCTTATTGCTTAAGCACCTGTAACCAGGGAAAACGCCGTGGTGGAGTGGCTAGACCGCTTCCGAAGGTCGTGGGTTCAGGTCATGACAGAGCCGGATTGTTTTTCTATTTAAAAAAAAAAGACCTTGGTTCTTAGGTCGAACTAGCCTTAGATAAGTATCTGGTAAAGTCCGGGGAAGTAGGGCGACCGGCGTGATGTTGAACACATCACCCTCTGAGTGCTGATTGGTCTATAAAATAAAGGTTTAGCCCCGTTTACTCAATACGCCTGAATGTGTAAAAAAAAGTGTCTTTTACTTGTTTGTTTTTTACCTGTAAATTATCTTTTCCAGTACCATCTACACTCCTAAGCAAAACTAAACTGAGGCACAAACAGAACAAATCGATCAGCAATCTCAGAGAAAGACAGCCGCACTATGCACTTTTGGATTAAGGTGCCTGCAGCACTAATTATACCTTCAAAACACAGCAGTGTTTCATATGTGTGGCTTTTGATGTGGTTAGTTTAGTGCTGGCCACCATATCACAGAAAGTGTTTTATGAGGCTTGTCGTCTGAAAACATGTGGTCGTGAACAATATTTCTTAAAGGGAAAAAACCCATGGCAGCTAGTTCAGTAAACAAATACGATAAAAACCCACGGCAGCTAGTTCAGTAAACAAATACGCTAGCCACCATGTCACCAAGACAGCCTTGATCATAATTGTATGCAAGAGCGCAGTTATATGTAGTCGTTGCTGAAGATGAATATCAGTATGCTTAGGTCCTAACTGCGTATGCATTGGATGGTCATGAAGAGTGTTAGGTTTATGTTAAACTAAGGATAGATTGGATTTCAGTTATTTAGGAGTCTCGGTATATATCAGTGGTGAGAAACAATCGAACCCCTAATCAGACATTAGGCAGTTTACAGAACGCCACTCTCTTCACGGTTCGCCTAGAAGTCTCTCTTTCTCTAGCCGATTCTCCAACCCTGTGTGCTTTCATAACGTCGACACCTTACTGTTGTTAAAATGTAATCTTGCACCACAATAGCGTTCAGTCAGTACACATGACTTATGTCTCTTTTCTCCATTCTACTCCAGTGTCGAGGAAACAAAAGTCTACTTTGTCGTCGCGTTCGACAACTGAAGCAAAAGCTGACAGCTGAACAAGTGGGGATTCATAAAGGCCGAGCTGACTGGATCAGACTGAAACCCGAAGAAAGGCTATCATTGGCCACACATTACGGGGCAAATGTGAAATCTTACACCAGTATTACAAAAACCCTTGCTAAAAGTGTAAGTCATGCATGCGTAAACCAAGTCCCACATTATACAGTGTAATTGATTTGGACATTAATTGTCACTACAAAGCGTAAAGTAATATTCTAATAAAACTAGTCATCTCCTTGGGAGATGCAATTTTTCATTATTTTGAAGCACCACCCTGGCTCTTGTCTGGGGCCGCAATGTAACCCGGCCATAAATATGCTCTAATGGCTGAACGCGGTTTCGGGGACCTCTCCACGGGTGATCCTCATCCTCATGGTGGCACTTTGTGTCATCGGGTGTTTATCGCTTGTGTGATGTCCTAGTGGGGTAAAATGTACTGTTACTACTAATGTGAAGTAATATTGTATCAGAATACGGAACGTAATTTGTCGTTATTTTAAAGCCCTACCCCGGCTGCCAGCAGGGCCCTAATATAACCTAACGGTTGTACGAGATTTCTGGGACTTGCATTCAGGTGATTTTCATCCATATGGTGGTACCTTGTATCCCTAGGTGTTTATTCTCGCTGTTTAGTCGGGGAGGGGTTGAGCGTCACTCAGTGTAAAGTAGTAGTGTCCTGTGTTCTGAGATTACTTACAGAGATTACAGAGTAGAAAGCGCCCCTTAAGGGTGAATGCAGAAGAAGAAGAAGAAGAAGAAGAAGAAGAAGAAGAAGAAGAAGAACAACAACAACAACAACAACAACAACAACAACAACAACAAGAAAAAAGAATAAAAGGGAGGAGAAGAACAAGTAGAAGAAAAAGAAGAAGAAGAAGAAGAAGAAGAAGAAGAAGAAGAAGAAGAAGAAGAAGAAGAAGAAGAAGAAGCAGAAAAAGAAGAACAAGAACAAGAAGAAGAAGGAGGATGAGGAGGAGCTGTTATTGTGGACAATAGAACCTTCAAGTCTTGCACATTTCATGCGCATAAAATATGTTTATTTATTAAATAAAGACCATCAGTATTTGCAAGTGTGTAAAAATGTATGCTGCTGGATTCTGATATCCTAAGACTGTTGATTTTTCTGAAATATTATTCCAAATTCTTGTTTCCGCAGGTTAAACAAATGAACAACAAAGAAAAAAAGCTCTCAAAAGCCGACAAAACAGTTAATCAGATACCTAGGAACCCTGAAGAGCATATTCTGAAGCGTCAGAGGCAGATGAGACAAGGTAGAATCAGAAACAAGGACAGGAATGGTCAGAGCAGCTGAATATTTCTAAACACAGTAAGCCCGTCAAGGAAACAATTTTACTTTCTGCAGCAACTGTTGAATTGATCAACTGTGCAGTGTTTATCTAGTAGTTTAGGTTCTGCTGGACTAATCGAGCCATGCATTTGTTTTGCTTCAGTTTAGTCCGAGAATGACTATTCACAACTGTAAAATGGTAAATGTTGAATTAAGAATCGACATCGTAGCACTCGGAAAACCTCCATAAACGTCCTGTCTTAGGAAACGAAGAGTTCCAATACTGATGGCACCAGTAACTGATAACACAAGGGACACTATATATCTTGAGCCAGGGCCATCTTTAGCTATAAATTTAAAGTTAAAGCCGGATGTGCTTGAGCATAGGGTTAGTTCAACGAGATATTTAACAGTAAAGATTGGCATTTTTCGACTTTTCATATGACATTGTTATATACAAAGTAGGACTGTACCAAATATTCGCTTCGTATTCGCTTCGCGGCCGAATAGTGGACCGAATGACTGTTCGGTATTCGGCTGAATAGTTGCGGTCGGGCCGAATACGAATAGTGGTTACATTACACCCTTTCTGCATACACTGCGATGGACTGAAATAACTCTCTCATTAACACAATAGTTGGTGTTGCCTAAGTCTGTATTAGCTTGGGAAACTGCCACCCGGTTGCGTGATACAGCAGCCTGCAAGGTCTTGCCAGCTGACTCGACCTAGGTATTACAGCAAACGTTCTCAAACTGGGTGCGTATGTCAGGGGTGCCGGGGCGAAAATCAAGAAAAATCGGCTATAAATTGTGACATTATTAAAGAATGCATAAAGCTCCTTGAAAGTTAAAATTTAAATTGTCTTTCCTCGCCACTGTCAAAAAGAGCACAGGGGACAGACAATAACTGCATTTTATAAAATTAACAAAATCCTATGCAATATATCTTTGCTATTGAAGATTAGAAAAATAATTCTTGCTTGCTACATATATCCAGTTTTAACATATGGTTGTAAGTCCTGGACAATCGGTAGGCAGGCCAAACAATTTCTCCAGGCTTCTGAGATGTAGTTTTATAGAACAATGCTCAAAATACCTTGAACAGCCAAAAAAAAAAAAAAAAAAAATAAACCGAGGTTTGGAAAGAGGCAGGAGCCCGAAGACAACTAATCACAGACATCAGAAAGAGACAGTTGTCATTTTTCGGCCATGTTATGAGAAGAGGGAAAATGAAACATGTGGTGACCACTAGAAAGATGCGTGGAAGGAGGGATAGAGGAAGACAACGAAGAAGATTCTTGACAGTCTTGTTACATGGCATGAAGGTGTGTCAGCACACGAACTAATACTTGCTGCAGCAGATCGCAGATTGTGGTGAGGCATAATCACCCATGCCAGTCAGCAAGGCACCTGATGATAATGATGATACACTATTCGTATTCGGCCGAATAGTTGGTCCCACTATTCGTATTCGGCCGAATAGTGAAAATCACTATTCGGTACAGCCCTACTACAAAGCCATGGAAATCACATGCCATGGCAATAGCTAGTGTGACTAGCAAGACCTGTTTGAATTAAGAATTGTCTTCCACAATTAGTGCATGGGATTTCAGTACCATTGTTGCTATTATATTGCATTTCATTGATGCACTGCTTCCCAGACTCGGCTCTGACAACTAAAGGTCGACAAGCCTTGTCACACCTGCGGCAGCTGAGTATTTGAGTCAGTACTTGTTTTTGTGTCAACAGTTTACACTCGGTGGCTGATGCGGTCAACGCCTCGCCGCCCGTCTCTGCTACCCTGGACACACTTCTTCATTTTAGGTTCCACTGACCTGGGAGCTAGGTCACATTATACCAAATCCACCCATTGCGGATTTGAACCTAAGACCTTTGGGTAGTAGGCGATCTTAAAGTCGCTAAGCCAGGCACTTCAAAGAGGATATTAATTATGTTAACAGTTAATAAATTATGACATAAAAAAAAAAAAAATCTTATTAAATCAACAAAGTGAAGAAGAAAAGAGATCAGAAAATGGAACTGGTAAGTTTTGCAAGACTATAGTCAGTTTTTAATTTCCACAGGTAGCAGAATGAACTAGAAAAGCACACAGGAAAAAAAAAAAATCTTTGATCGCTGTCTGCCAAATATTAGTTTTTGAAATTACCGACGATTTTTACATATAACTGGTTTACCAAGATTTTTGATTTCCATGGATAGATAATAACATGTTCAAACAATCTATAATATTTTGATGGTTCTTAGATAGTTAGTTGGCACCTACAGCTGATAAAACAATCGTCATGGCTTAACATGTAGATATGTAAATATCAAGTTTGCCACATTCTGCCCTATACATATGATGGTCAGTGGTGGTATTTTTTTGGGTGGGGATAATACAAACGCCAGGGATTTTATGCTTGTAAATAATATTTACGCTGAGTTATTATTTTAACTTAATTTTTGCTCAATGATTTTGTGTATATCGAACAAATATAAATGATATTGTATTATTTGGTACATTACATATTGTATTGCAGGGCAACTGTGAGACGGGGGGGGGGGGGGGGGGGGGGGGGGGGGGAGGAGAGGAGGTCACTAACAGTGTGCTAGCGTCTTGACTAGCCTTCATGCCTCTCCACAATCTGCGATCCGTAACTGCGTGTATCAGTTCGTTTGTTGACACCCCTCCATGACATGACAAAATACTGTCAAGAATGTTCTCATGCTGTCTTCTCTGTCTCTCTTTCCACAGATCTTTCCAGAGGTGACAAGCATGTTCCATTTTTTTTCTTCTCATAACATGACCACAAAATAACGGTTGTCTCTTTCTGATGTTTGTGGTAAATTGTCTTCGTGCACTCACCTCTTTCAGAACATCCGTGTTGGTCTTATTAGCTGTCCAAGGAATTGCAAGGATTCTTCTGTAAAACCACATCTCCGAGGCCTCCCTCAGGATATTGTTCGGCTTGTTTATTCATTGACTAGGCTTCACAGCCGTGTGTGGGAACTGGCTCTATGTAGCATGCGATACATTTTGTCTTAACTCTAATGACATGTATTTATTGTACACAATGTTCTTCATTTTATAAAATGCAGTTTTGGCCTGTCCTATTGTATATTATATATAATGAATAGTAACATATATTAGAGGTTATATGCTAGGTGACAAAGATAATAAATATATCGAGAGATTATTGCAGTTGTTACTGATTTTTAGACAAAAGTTTGATTTTATTTTAAAATTTTTATTTTTAAAGCCTTTTTCTGACTCATCTGTTAATCACTTTGTAATTTTCGGAGAACTAGGAAACAGTAAAATAAATGTTGTAAACTATTGTTTATACTAGGGCTGCAAGTTCATTGTAAACGCTGCCTAGAAGAAAAGCAGTTTAAGCAAATTTACTTAGAAGAATGTTAATGAACTGTGGAGAAGATCAAAAAGTATAAGCTAGGAATGATTAACTTTCATAAACTAAGACAAATGAACATATTAGAAGCCGAACTGAAAGAATCCTTATCAAAATTCAATGAGTAAACATAGTGTTTAAAACAAGAAGGTGAGAAGGAACCGGCAAGGAAAACCTACACTGAAATAACATATGATCAGTGACACTAGAAAAATATCTGCGTGCTGAATGAATCGAAACTAGACAGGCAAATGCTGAAGCTGAATCAGTCAATAATTTGTGCTGGTAATTAACACACGATTCACAATCTAACAAACAGTTGCAGAACATTTGTTCATATATATCCTTTTCAACGTGGATCATGAACAGAATAGTGCAACTTAAGATCATTTCTTGACAACCACAGTTTGTCCTGCACTGACAGATAAAATATATGTCTAAACTCTGCTTAGCTCCATAGGTGCAGGTGACAATGTCTCTGTGACCTATTCAGTGCAGAACTGGAAACATAGTTTTTATTATGACATGAAAAAAATCAGTGATTTGTAATGCACTGTCTGATATAAAGGACATAAATACATTTGCAACGACAATGCATAACTGCAGTGTATCTTAAAATGTATGCTCGTTGTCAAGCACATACTTCAACTGTCGTGAAGGTTATCATATACAAAATATGTAGTTCGAAAATAAAAATTACGTTTCAAAATAAAATAATACCTACAATTGTTTGATTCTACTTGATCACATGAATGAATGCAGCTAAGTTTTTGGGGACAATTAAAATGCATGAAAATGATTAATTAATTAATTGTTAAAAGTTTGTTGTTATAAAATTTACGGGACATTGCAGAACCAGACCCAGTATTTTTTGGCTGTTTTAGTTTTTCTAAGAAAATTTACGTCTGGTAGTTTGCCTTTGCTTTCTGCTGGACATTCGGCTTCTCGATACCACTGTCGAAACCAACGCAAGGCGCAAGGCCAATCGATTGCTAAGGACTCAAAATCGCATTAAATACACGGCAAAGATAATAATAGTAAAGAACTTTGGAGGACCCATTCGATGGCATTTTATAATATCTGGCCTATAGCACTATAACGTTCTGAAACATGGACTCTAGCCAGAAATAGTGAAAGAAACATGGAAACCTTTGAGGTGTGGTGGGGTCACGTGATGCAAAGAATAATCTCAGCCGAAACGAGTTTAAGTAAACAGAAATAATCGCTCTCAACCATGTTTAAAAAATAGGCTTTAATAACATTACCCTGCAGTCCTGCTTACGAAATCTCATGCAATATAAATGAAATAAACGTGATGAGAGATCATACAAACGAGGTCTAGAAATCCATTTAAAAAAAAAAGAATCATGAGAATTAGGAGTGCAAATAATAATTCAGTTCTCTTGTTGAAACTTAACTCAAGGATGTCAACAACTTATTATAACAGTATTGTAGACATCTGAGTTCATCTGGGTAAAGATTCAACATCACACTTTTTAAGACAAAACCATTTTAGCTTACATCCAGCAAAAAGGCTCCATACTGATAGTACCCGTTTTCAGCTGATTAACTAAAATTCCCACATATTTCGATTGTCCCTACCCTGGTCTTTAG